CCCCAAAACCCCAAAACCCCAAAACCCCAAAACCCCAAAACCCCTTATTTAAATTCTTAAGTTGAAATGGGACATTTAAATCCTTAGCTAATCATATAGAGAGGCTATGCCATGCCAATGATCATCTTATCCTCTGGGTACTCCCTAAGAATCTTTGCTCTTAAGTAATCTAACAAGTCAGGGTTTGATAAACCAAGTGCATCTTTGATGGTTTTCAAAGATGCAGCCTGCTGGTACTGTATCTTATAGAAACTTTGCCCATTAGCTTCAGCTTTGTTAATGTTGATATTAGAAGCAATCTGAGCCTGTAAAATCGTGGTCTCAAGTTCAATCTGCATCTTAGCCTTCTCAGCCTCAGCTTTATGGATGTCTTGCCTCATGACTTCAGTTTCCTGAATAGCTATCTCGTACTTGTCAGGAAGATCGATACTCTTGAGTTGGAAATAATCCACAGTGGCAAATCAATACTGTGCAAATGTCTTATTTACAGCTTTCTGCATAGCAAAAGTAATCTTTTCTTTATCAAAGAAGAACTGGGATGCTTTATATTGTGTAGCTACATCAGTCAGGATATCAATAGCAATCTTCATACATGGGAGCTTCTCTAGTCCCCCATATTGCATGTAAAGATCATAGAGTTCTAAAGACATATAGAGATATTGGAATGAGATCTCTAGTTCAACTTCTAATCCATCCTTGGTTCTTGATCTGACACTTGGGGCATCAGATCCTTTACCTTTAGAAAATTCATATGTTTGTACAGTTGTAGGATACTTGATAAAGGAATGGCCTACACCTAAGAAGTGTATACCCGATGTATATAGATCCCTATCCACACTCTTAGTTATTCCAGAATAATTTAGTCCAATCTCGTTGACCTCAAGAGATCTGAATGAAGTAAATATCAGGATAAGAATGGCTATGACACCAACTATTAGTGATCCAACGCCGACTGCAAGCCCTGTTGACATAATTAATAATATAAAAGCGTTAGCAGAGCAGGGGTTTTGGGGTTTTGGGGTTTTGGGGTTTTGGGGTTTTGGGGTTTTGGGGTTTTGGGGTTTTGGGG